CGTGGCTGAGACCTGTGTTCCATGCCATGATGCAATGCATTCTTTGAGCAGACGCTGTTTCATTTATTTAAACGAGGAGGGTGAAATACCACGTCATTTCATAAGAGCTGGGCATTTGGAGAGATCAGCTCACCTGAAATGGCTCGTTGAGACAGGCCAGGATATCAATGAAATACCGGGAATTTTCCCAAATTGTCCTGACCTCGTGCAAAGGACAGCCACTACCACAGGCCCCTGGAACTCCGTGAAGAACAGATGGGAAGGCACAACAGGCACTTTGGAGAAGGGATTTTGAGGGGATTCCACCATGGAAATTCACACAGAGAAATAGGAACGTTCCCAAATTTGCACAAACAAGACCCATTGAACCATAAACAGCCATGCCAACTGGAAGCAAAGCAAAGACTTATACCAGGCACAGAAAGCAACACTCAGGACAGCTAATTATCATCAAGGCTTTTTTGTACCATGTAACATGCAAGAAATGCCTCAGAAACTGACATTTAGTGTGTGCTCAGAGTATAAGCACAAGGTGGAATTGACAGAAACCTCCTAAGAACCTCCAAAATATCGTCAGTTACCAACCTGCTCTGGAGCAGCATGAGGCTTCAGACTCTGCACAGATCAGCAAATCTTAAATGAAAGAAAATTTATAAATATGTCAAGCATCTATATCCTGCTGAAATCGAATCCTAAGTACCTTCCTGGATGTGGGCCCAAGCCTTCCAGGGCCAAATAGAAAACAATGCTGAAATGTCCAGGCCGTTCTGCTAAATGTGAAAATAAGTGCTTTGGCCAGACTCAAACTGGGAAAAAGGCCATGGCAGAGATGTCTATATTCTAAATGTCGACTCAGCTACCGGTTCTAGGCTGAGCCACACGGTTTAAACATCAAGAACGTGGGGTATAAAATCAGCTCCCGCAGTCTCTCCTCACAAGAGATGTTCCAAACCCCAAATCATCTTTGTGGCCTCTGCTGGACCCTGTCCAGCAGCTCCTTATCTCTCCTGCACTCAGCACCCTGAGCTGGGCACGATGCCCTGAGGAGGCTGACCCAGAACAGAGAGACTAGACAGAGTTACAGAATAAAGCAGGGATTTATTTATTAGAAGGCTCCATGGATCCACCTTGGGCAGCACAAGAGCCCAGCCAGGGATGCACCAAAAAATGGTCACAAAAAAGATGACTGGTCACAGGGTTTCACACTTTTATAAGTTCTGCTCCATTTGCATACTGGAGTTAATTGTCCAATTACAGCTTTAGGTTATGCAGTCCCATCCTGCTTGTTTCTCTCTCTTCAGTCCACGTTTGTGCTCTTGGGCCTGAGATGTGGATCATTTGTCCTTGGTCCCCAGCTAGAGATGGAATTACTTCGTTTCCCTACTCTGTGAAGAGACCATACTAATACAAAGCTCACAACTACACCCTAAAGCAGCACAGAATCTGAAAACTAGAAAAGCTAAACGTGAGGCACCGGGCACAGCGCTCTGGACCCGTGCCTGTGGCGGAGCAGAGAACAGGGCCCGTGCCTGTGGCGGAGGAGAGGTACAGCACCCCTGTCTATGGTGGAGCAGAGGGCAGGACCCCTGTCTGTGGGCGGAGCAGGGAACAGGACCCCTGTCTGTGGGGGAGCAGGGAACAGGACCCCTGTCTGTGGGGGAGCAGAGGGTCAGACCCGTGTCTGTGGCGGAGCGGGGAACAGGACCCCTGTCTGTGGCGATGCAGAGGGTCTGACCCCTGTCTGTGGCGGAGGAGAGGGACAGGACCCGTGTCTGTGGGGGAGCAGAGGGCAGGACCCCTGTCTGTGGCGGAGCAGAGGGTCAGACCCGTGTCTGTGGCGGAGCGGGGAACAGGACCCCTGTCTGTGGCGGAGGAGAGGGCAGGGCCCTTGTCTGTGACGGAGCAGAGGGTGAGATCCCTGTCTGTGGCGGAACAGAGGGACAGCACCCCTGCCTGTGGCGGAGCCGCGGACCGGACCCGCTGTGGCCGCTCCCCTCAGGGCCTTTCCCAGCCCCGCCGCCTTCCCCGTGATTTCCTCCCGCCGCGGGAGCCCCGCCCGTGCGGGCGCAGCTGCTCGGCGCGGCCGGCGGGCGGCGCTGCGGGTCAGACCCGTGTCTGTGGCGGAGCGGGGAACAGGACCCCTGTCTGTGGCGGAGGAGAGGGCAGGGCCCTTGTCTGTGACGGAGCAGAGGGTGAGATCCCTGTCTGTGGCGGAACAGAGGGACAGCACCCCTGCCTGTGGCGGAGCCGCGGACAGGACCCGCTGTGGCCGCTCCCCTCAAGGCCTTTCCCAACCCCGCCGCCTTCCCCGCGATTTCCTCCCGCCGCGGGAGCCCCGCCCGCCGACCGCCAGAACAGCCTGCGCCGCGCCGCCAGCGGCCTCTACCAGGGCGTCAGCGGCCTCTTCGGCGAGGACAACGTGCGGGCCCTGCAGAAGGTGAGGTGCTGCTCGCCGCCCCCCTCCTCTCCCTTCCGTCTCCTTCGCTCGTTCTCCCCCCGCCCGGCGCTGAACGGGCGGCTCTGGGGCCGCAGCCCCATCGCCCAGCTCGGCGCTGGACCGGCCGTGGCCTCGGCGGCGGAGCGGCCGGAGCGCTGCTGCGGGAGCAGAACGGGAGGCCGGGCTCGCAGCCGACTGGGGGGAAATAGCAGCTGAATGGTTAAAGGAAGGTGCGAGGTGGGGGACACGGCCGGGCCGGCAGCCCCGGCTGGAATCCGGGCTGCAGCCGCAGCAGCAGAGCATCCTGCGCTCGCAGGGCCGCGGAACTCGCGGCGAGGCAGGCGTGCATTCCTCCGTGCCTGATAAATTCTGCTGGATTGACCTCTGAGTACACCTGAGACATTCGCTGGGCACATCGCTCAGTTGCTTGATTAAAAGGAATTCTTTGGTTTGCCTTGCCAGTTGTTGGTAAATCTTTCTAATCTTCAAAACGATAGTAAAGCCAATAAAATGCGTTTTTAAATCCTGCCAACATATACATTTACATGCTAAAATACCTACAATAACGATAATTGCAACGCATAAATTCATGATTCACACAGTTAAAAAAAAAGTTCAGATTTACAATTTTTCCCATGGGGACTATGAAATAATCTGCAATTCTTGATTAGTGAATTATAATTCTACTCATGACAAGTCTCAAAGTGTTACTTTAGGAATTTTTACTTTAGGAATTGAGGATTTTTTTAATTTTCAATTTTATTTCTCAGTTTTTCTCAAGGTTGACAGAGAGGTTTGTGAATGGGGTGGATGTATTAATGGACACATTCTGGAGAATATGGACTGATTTGTTAGATGTTCTTGGAATTGATGGTAAGTGTGATGCCTGCTCACCCTTGAACTGTCTCAGCCTGTATCAGTGTTTCAAGCAAATGGGAAAACAGTTACATTTGATCATGCTGCTTAAACATCCATCAGTGGTGTGTCTCTCTGCTTCACATGGCTTTGATTTTCCTATTAGTGTCTTCAAACAAGACTGAACCCACCATTCCATTTCTGTATGTGTATCCACAGGATGTGTATAGAATGAATTACCATGCACAGCTGGTTCCTTGGTGTCATCATTAAATGCATTCACACAGCCAGGAACAGTGCAGGGAAATCAATGAGTGCCAGAGAAAGGAAAGATGCAGTAGAGAGCCTTTAGAATGTAGCTGTTACAAAGCAGGATCTGTAGCCCCAGTATGAGTTTTGACCTCAGGCTGTACAGTGGTTTGTCTTTAAAGAGCCTTTAGCACCTTTCCTGGAATGAATTCAGTTGGAGCTGAGCCAGTGATTTGAAGAAAGTTCACCCAGAAATAGGTGAACCAGTTTTACCCTTTAGAAAACACAGCCATGACGTGACCCCACTGCTGTGGGGTTTTGACCCTTAGAGCTGTGTTGTTTTTTGGTTTTTGCCCCACTGCTGTGGGGGTTTGACCCTTGGAGCTGTGCTCATTTTTTGCCCCACTGCTGTGGGGGTTTGACCCTTAGAGCTGTGTTGTTTTTTGGTTTTTGCCCCACTGCTGTGGGGGTTTGACCCTTAGAGCTGTGTTGTTTTTTGGTTTTTGCCCCATTGCTGTGGGGGTTTGACCCTTGGAGCTGTGCTGTTTTTTGCCCCACTGCTGTGGGGGTTTGACCCTTGGAGCTGTGCTGGTTTTTGTAGCTCCACTGCTGTGGGGGTTTGACCCTTGGAGCTGTGCTGGTGTTTTTGCCCCGTGCCACCTTCAGCTCATTAACATCCTGTACATTTCCCTTTGTTTTTCAGCCTCCAACCTGACTCATTATTTCAGCCCAGCAGCCATTGCCAACAACCCGACCCGCGCCCTCCTGCTGATCGGTGCCATTTTGCTGGCCTACTGGTTTTTATCTCTCTTCCTTGGATTCTTCTTCTATCTCCTGCACATGCTGTTTGGCCGCTTCTTCTGGATCGCCAGGGTGGCCCTGTTCACCCTGTCCTGTGTGTACATCCTGCAGAAGTACGAGGGCGACCCGGAGCACGCCGTGCTGCCCCTCTGCTTCGTCGTGGCCGTCTACTTCATGACGGGGCCCGTTGGCTTTTACTGGAGGAGGAACAGCAACAGCAGCCTGGAGGAGAAGATGGACCACCTGGATAGTCAGATCAGGCTGCTGAACATCCGCCTTTCCAGGGTGATTGAGAACCTGGACAGGGGCGCTGAGCAATGAGCCCGGCCCTGCTGACCACTGCACACCAGCTCTGGAAAAATCCTAAGCACTGTCTCATCCGAAGTGACGAAGCAACAAAACATCACATGGTAAAAAGTGTGCAAAGTTATAACTTTTCATCGTGTCTAAGACTAATTTATCTAGGTTAAACACTCAGCCGTTAGACTTCTAGGAGAAAGGAAAAAAACATTTACAAAATTCAGCTGTATATTCAGAGTTTTATCCAGTACTAGAATTTTCTCAGTAGATAAACGCTTACTTTTACAAGCATTTAAAAACATCTTTTGTAAAGTTTTTATAAGAGCAAATTGAGTAGTCTTTCAGATATTGAAATTGAGTTAAACATATGCAAATTTGACACTTTAACAGTTAAAAAGAAAAAAAAAATCTCAAGCTACCAAGCACTTCCATTGAGAAGTAACTGCTGTGGGTCCATATTTTTTCTTCAGAGTTGTGAATGTTTTTGTGTTTTTGTTGGCTTATTTCATTGCCTTGAAGTTGCCTTTCATAGAGTATCAGATGAGGAATTTTCTGGTATCCAGGCCAAAAAATTCTCACCATAGCTTTTAACAGGAGGTGGGGAATGAGGGAGAAGGAAGATCTGAAGTCCTTAAATGCCAGTCCAATGTGAGGAAGCACACGTGTGGCATTTTACCATTGCATTTCATCCCGAGAACTTTAATTTGTTAGTGTCTGGAAGGAAATCTGCTTTAATAAATTGGCACAGAAGGAAGATGTAGCGTGACAAATTGTAATTCATATTTGATCTGCACAGTGAAGCATTTTCCAAGCTTAAGTGCACAGAGTAAAACATGGTTTTTAGTCTCAGGACCCACATACCTTCTCAGAAAAGGCAGCAGTTAAAACACGTGCAAATGTATTGTTGCTTAAAGCTTTCTCAGGACCAATCAGCGGCAATAAATTATCTTCAGGAAGATCTGGATTTTTTTCTAAAATTACAATAGTTTTATAGGAGCTTTTTGCTTGAAGTCTATGTCCTCATGAGGTTTTGGGAAAAGTGAGTCACCTTTAGGAGGAGGGTGTAGGAAACGGTTCTCTGTCAAAGCAGTGGAGCTTTGGAGCAATTTTATTTTGCAGGATTTCTGTGTTTCTTAGAAGCTAAGGAGCTTGGTAGGGCATCACTGGCTGTGCTGGTTTACTGAAACAAAGGGAACCTCAGGGAAGGAAGCCTGGGATGTGGTTTCACCTGGAAACAGCAGCATCCAAGGACACAGATGTGAGCAGGGAGGGGAAGCACCTGCCCCTAGTGACGAGCACAGTTCTGACACCACCAGGGGTAGGATGGAGCACAGCTGGAGCATTCCATATTCCATAGGGTCCAAAGGAACAACTGCATCAAAAAGCGCAACAAAAATTGGTCTGGGATGGGGCCTGGCTACCAGGCAAGGGAACCAGGAGGAGGAGGAGGAGGGTCCCCAGCTGTGCCTGCCAGTGCCAGCTCCAGTGGGCTGAGCACAGCTTGTTCTTCCACTGGGCAAAGCTTCTGGGTGTGATGCTTAACTGAATGTAACTGTGGGGCGAATTTCTTTTTCTCTTTATGCTGAAGTTCAGTGTTCTTCTTGAAATGTGTGTGTTACTTGCCTGACCTCTTTGGGTCTGTGTGTGGCATTTCCATGGGGGTTATTTTTAAATCCATGTCAATGGCCTTTACTCCTGGTGATCACTTTGGTTCAACAAGGTTGAAGTTCATATGCACTTGGCACAGTTGGAATGTGTTTTAATTTTTTATGTCACCTGTAAATCCCCCTGCACCCCATTTATTAACAAGTACATGGTTTAGAGTTGTTAAATAACTGGTTATCACAATTTAGAATCTTTCCTGTGATCAAACAGGGACTATGGCAAAAAATAGTCCATTTTGTAAAGCTGAAAATATGAATTACAGGAAATTCATTTTTTCAGCTCATTCTCCATAGTATTACAGAGTCTTCCCTGTATTACTCAGTGAGAACTGAGTATTACAGACTCAGTTCTCCCTGCTGTTGTGCACAGAGGACTGGGCTAAAACACCAACCTGGAAATTGGGAATTGACCAGTAAAGCTTGTCAGGTCTTGATGTGTTTTGCCAAATATGAGACCTGAGGACCAAAGTTTGCAAACCTCGCTCGTGTCAGTGGCTCCATGGCCTTCCTAGGACAGTGTGCATGGGTCAGTTTGCATAGGTTGTATTTTGTCTAATCCATATTTAACTTCAAAGTTAAAAATACTGAACATTTCTATATTAAGAGTTGTCTATGATAAAGATTTCTTTGAAAGTATTATATAAAAGTTAATTTGGATTATAGTTTCTCCCTGTCTCACTCTAATAATTTATCTTACTTTTGTAAAATCGGCCCTCCTATATTAATACTGTTTATTTCGATCACCCTGCAGCTTAAAAAATGCTATTTTTATATTTACTTGCATCCCATGTATAGCAAACTATTATGTGAAAAGCAGTATATATAAAATTGGGTATTTTTAATCAGTATTTTTCCCAGCACTCAGTTTTCACGTTAGTCAAATTCAGAAGTAATGATTTTTTTAAAGCACAATCTAATCTTCAGTATATATATATAAATATATATATATATATAAATATATACTTTAAAAATGCTGTGTATTTTTAAACATGCACTGTAGTGAAAGCGCTTTTGGGGACATGAATGTGGTATTGTATTTAATCTCTTTCAACTTTTGTAAATACCTTTTACAAATATTTTCCATACCGGGCCATCTAGTTTATCCACGGAGGTTTTTGCTGTTTTTTAGAAACCCGTGCCAGTGGCTGCCCTGCTTTTGTGTCCCACAGAGCACCTCGGAGACAGGCAGGGCTCTGTGTCACCTGTGAGCCTGGCAGTGCCACCTGCAGGGTGGCACTGGAGGGATCCTCAGCAGTGTCACCTGCCCAGGAGAGGGGTGGCACTGTGACAAACCTCAGCAGTGTCACCTGCAGGGGTGGCACTGGGACGGCCCTCAGCAGTGACACCTGCCCAGGGCAGGGGTGGCATGGGACATTCCTGGTAGCTTTGGCTTTTTGCTGTGACCTCATGGAGCTCTGCCCCAGCCACAGCTGCTGGGAGCTGCTGCAGGGGCCCAGGTGACACAGGGACGGGCCCAGGTGACACAGGGACGGGCCCAGGTGACACAGGGACGGGCCCAGCTGGCAGCTCCTGCAGGACTGACCCCGCTCCTGGACCTTGCTGCAGGAGGTCCCAGCCCTGTGTGAGCAGGGCACAGGTGCTGAGGATGGCTCTGCTGAGGGCATCGGGAGCTCCACGGCCTTCCAGGGGCCTTCACCTGCCTGCTCTGGGACAGCTTTGGAACCCTGCAGGGTTCTTCCCATTCCTGAGGGTTTTCAGCTGCCTGCTCTGGGACCCAGCCTCTGGAACCCTGCAGGGTCTTGAAGGTTTTCACCTGCCTGCTCTGGAACTCAGCCTTTGCCAGCCTCTGGAATCCTGCAGGGTCTTGAAGGTTTTCACCTGCCTGCTTTAGGACTCAGCCTTTGGAACCCTGCAGGGTTCTTCTTGCTCTCAAGGGTTTCACCTGCCTGCTCTGGGACCCAGCCTTTGAATCCTACAGTGTTTTTCCCATTTTTGAATGTTTTCACCTGCCTGCTCTGGGACCAGCTTTGCAATCCTGCAGGGTTCTTCCCATTCCTGAGGGTTTTCAGCTGCCTGCTCTGGGACCCAGCCTCTGGAACCCTGCAGGGTCTTGAAGGTTTTCACCTGCCTGCTCTGGAACTCAGCCTTTGCAATCCTGCAGTGCTTTTCCCATTCTGGAATGTTTTCACCTGCCTGCTTTAGGACTCAGCCTTTGGAACCCTGCAGGGTTCTTCCTGCTCTCGAGGGTTTTACCTGGCTGCTCTGGGACCAGCCTCTGGAGCCCTCCGGGGTCTTGAGGTTTTCACCTGCTTGCTTTAGGACTCAGCCTTTGGAACCCTGCAGTGTTTTTCCCATTCTTGAAGGTTTTCAGCTGCCTGCTGTGGGACCCAGTTTTGGAACCCTGCAGTGCTCTTCCTACTCTTGAGGGTTTCACCTGCCTGCTTTAGGACTCAGCCTTTGAGCCCTGCAGTGTTTCTCCCATTTTGGATGTTTCCAGCTGCCTGCAGTGGGACCCAGCCTTTGAACCCTGCAGATTTTTCCCATTTTGGATGTTTCCAGCTGCCTGCAGTGGGACCCAGCCTTTGAACCCTGCAGATTTTTCCCATTTTGGATGTTTCCAGCTGCCTGCCGTGGGGCCCAGCCTCTGGAGCCGTGCTCTCCCCCTCGGGCTCCTCTGGGCACACCCCTGCAGATACCCGGTGTCCTGTGCAGTGGGACTCTTTCCCCGTGGTTTGGGTGTCAGGGTGCAGTGTACAAACCTGCTGTGGCTCCGTGCTGTGCTTCTGCCCGTCCTTCCCTTCGTGGTGTGCTTCTCGAGGCTCGTTGCGTCGTCGCTGTGGAAAATGACCAGTATCAACCTTAGCTCTTCGGTGGTGTGGAAGTGTTCAAGTGTGGTTTGCCTCTCATACTGATCCGTATTTGGCAGCTAGTGACCATGAGTTCTCTTTGTCTGGGTTGGAAAATAAAAGGTTTTATTGTATCCGCATGTATTTTGAACTTTTTTGGATAATTCCATCGACCTGTGATGGCAGCACATGTAAAAACCGATCTTTTCCTTTTATTCAGAAGTTCTATTTGCTGTGGTAGCACTTGTTGTGGGCACTGATGGTGGTGATTTCACATCCTGTTCTGTGCATCAGGTTTCATGATTACAGTGTTTAAGTTTGTACAATTGTTTATGTAAAAATGATTTGGTCTGGAGAGATGCTGTGAGTTCACTTCTGATCCTAGACACACACGAGATCCCACTGGTAACCCTGTTTAGTAGTTACAGCTGTACCAGACTTATTTTCTACAGAGCTTTACATGCCTTTATTTATTCCTTTATCGGACCATCCAAACCATGTACTCCGTAGCTCAGCATTTGTAGACCAGGTTCACAAATCAGCCTAAGGTATTGTGGCAAAGCTTCGAATAAATGTTTACTGAGACTTTGCACTGAGCCGCGAGCGCCTGCTGAGGGGCTGGGGAGTGGGGTGGGAGGGAAGGGATGGGATGGGATGGGGGCCGGGCCGGGCTCCCCGTGAGGGCTCGGGCTGAAGGGCCCCGCAGCGCTGCGGAGGCCGGAGCTGCTGCCGCCTCTGCCGGGTTTTTACCGCGTTTCAATCGGAAGCATTGTTACTTTTAAAGCCGCGGCGCTCCTCCGTGCCGGGGTGCTTGGCGGTGCTGGGTGCCCGGCCGGGCTCGGTGCCAGGCTGGGCTCGGGGGTCTTTCCCAGCCGAATTCATGCCCTCGCTCCGTGGTCTCGCTGGCTGTGCATTAACAGCTCTGTCTCAGCAGCGAGAGCCTCCAGGGAGCTCAGGGGCTGTCCCTGGCTCCCTTCTGAATCAGTGGTTCCATTATTTATTACAGCACCTTTATTCAACGTATTAAACATGCTTCTTATATAGTATTCGCTTTCTCAAACTTTAAAAAAAAATATGGCGTTGCTTTAAAAAAGAATACATTTGTTATTCTATTTTTATTATTCAGAATCTAGTAATACGGTTTTTTTCAGTATTAAAATCCACTGGTGCCCGGGTGAAGCAGGACACTGGGGAGTCACCCCAGGGCACACCGTGTCCTGACCCTGGGGGATTGAGTAAAAAGGCAAAAATTGCATAATATTGTTCAATAAATCTTGGAGAATTGCCCTCAGGGCTATAGAAAGCTCAGGGTTGTTGAGTGCCCAGTTTCGAGGTCTTTTGCCCTTGCTGATGCTGCAGGATTATTTTTTTTTTGGCTGGGCATGAGGGTTGTGTTTGTTTGAGGCAGCTAAATGTGGCCTGGTGCTTGATAAGCCTGCTGGGCAGTGTGCTGAAAATAACCCACCTGGCCCAGGTGAATAACCCAAACCCTTCCCTCAGATGCTGCAACGCTGAAGGGAATTGATGAGAGTAATGCCCTGGTCCTGCCAGCAAAAAAAGCCAAGAAGAAAAAAGTCACTTGTGCTGTGCAACAGCAGAAGAAACCCCTGAGCAAGAAACAGAAGAAAAACCTGCAGAAGGTTTTGGAGCAGAAGGAAAAGAAAAAACAGGTGTGTTGCTCTTTCTGGCAACAGCAGCTTCTTAAATCTTAAATTCTTAAATCTTAAATTCTCTTAAAATGAGGGTTTGGTGTTGGTGTGTGGGGAGGGGGGGATGATGAGGATGGTGAGGGAGCTGAGCTGTCAGGGGGTGTCTGAGATGTGACTCTCAGGGGTGTGCAGGTGCTGAGGGTGATGCTACAACACCAGTCCCCCTTTGCTGGGCATTTGGGCAAAGATGCCCAAAATTTTGCTGGGCATTTGCCCAAAGATGCCCAAAATTTTGCTGGGCATTTGCCCAAAGATGTCCAAAATTTTGGTGGGCATTTGGGCAAAGATGCCCAAAATTTTGCTGAGCATTTGAGCAGAGATGCCCAAAATTTTGCTGGGCATTTGCCCAAATATGCCCAAAATTTTTCTGGGCATTTGAGCAGAGATGCCCAAAATTTTGGTGGGCATTTGCCAAAGGTGCCCCCAGGGGCTGCTGAGGGCAGCTGCAGGGGGAGGCACTGCCTGCCCTCCCAGAGGCTCAGGGCTGCAGTGGTTCCTGGTTTGTGGGCCAGGTCCTGCCCTGCCCTGCCCAGGTGTGCAGGGGTGGATCCATCACTGGCAGGCTGGGATGGTTTTGCATTTTAAAAGCTCTCTGTGGAGCAGGTGCTGGGAGCAAACCTCCCTGCCCCCCAGCGTGGGCCTGTCAGTGCTCCTGAAATGCTTGTTGTCTGTTTTCAGGGTGGAAATAAGAGTTTTTCTGTCTCTGTAAAAGCTTTCCAGGCAAAGTTAGTGTCCTGTTAGTGTCTGAACAATGCTTTGACAGAGGAGCTCTGGTTCTGGAGGCAGCTCCAAGCTGTGGTGCCTGCCCTGCTGTGTCCCACAGGAGCTGCCATTGCTCCAGGCTCATTCCAGTGCTTCAGTTCCAATCTGTGTTCTTTGCTGCTGTTCCTAGGGTGCAGCTGAGCTGCTCACTGCTGTGTTTTGCTGTGGTACAGGGCTGAGATCTTCACCAGGCAGGACTGACCCTGCAGCAGCAGGAAGCTTTTACAGCAGGATTTGCCAGAGCACACCTTGGAATGCTCAAGTGCAGATCTTGAAATGAAATCCTTCCCTGGTCAAAGCAAGCACTGATTTTGGTTGTTTTCCCCAAACAGAGAGCTGAGCTGCTGAGCAAGCTGAACGAGGTGCAGGCTTCTGAGGCAGAAATGAAACTGCTGTACACCACTTCCAAACTGGGCACGGGGGAGCGCATGTTTCAGGCTAAAAGGTGAGGGGGTTTTTGGGTGGAACCCTTGCAACTGGTCACTGCGTTTGAACAGCAGCATCCCGAGCTTTCCCTTGATTTTTTTCTTCTTCTTGGTGCAAACAGGTTCTTCAGAATGGATGGAGTTAAATAATTTGCTATTTTTGTCTGATAATGGGATAGTTATTTACTTGGTCTTTCCTGTGGATGAGGATGAGGAGGTGACACAATCTGCAGGCTTTTAGCAACTGTGCTAAACTACAAAACTGGTGGATAAACATTTTACTTATTTTCTTGTGCTGGAAGACATCTACTGATGTTGACCATAGCTGCTAGATTTATCAAGAGGTAGATTGATCAAGAGCTGCATTTGTAGATTAAACTGCAAAGATGCCTGCAGAAGAAATGGATAAACCCCAGCACAGGAAATGCTTAGATACAATAAATCCATCCACCAAAGGCAAGGCTTTACCTGGCAGAGCTGTGAAAACCCCCAGGAGTGGAGATCTGGTTTTTGGGGAGGTCATGTCTGCTTTGAGGTGCCAGAACACAGTTCACAGGTGGATGTTTTGTTCCCAGGGTGACACAGGAGCCAAGGACTGATGTCCCTGAAAGGATCAGGAGCGTCAGCGGTGCCAACAAGAGAAGGCACAGCTCAGGGTCAGAATCAGAGCCTGAGGAGGAGCCCAGCAGCTCTGAGGAGGAGGAGGAAGAGCAGAAAGAAGACACTGAGCATTCCCCAGCCAGTGCTGTGAATGCTGCTGGGGAGGCAGAGGGAGGAGTGGGGCAGGCAGGGGCTGAGCAGCCTGCAGCTGCTCCCAGAGCCCCAGCTCCCCAGGCAGCCCCCAGCAGGGCTCCCTGCAAGCCTGCAGTGTTCATCCCTGTGCACAGGACTCCTGAGATCCAGGTGAGGCTCTGAACAGCACGGGGCTTGTCAGAGGGGTGGGGAGGAGGGTTCCAGCAGCTGGGTGCACTCAGCTCTGCTCCAGCAGCAGGAAAACTCGCCTTGTTTCAGGGTATTAGCATTTCTCTTTAGCTTCACATACAGAATCTATCAACAGTCCTTTGCTGGAAAGTTTTCTGAAGTCC